TTCATTTCATTTATCGACGAACATGGAAACTTAATTAAGTGCAGAGAAAATTTCGGCCTAATTATGGCACGTGGTGCACGATGTGTTAAATATCCTATATTTTTGGCAAAGGTTCCTAGCATATATTTTTTTTCATCCATAGATTTATAATTTTTACCATCTCATTTTACTCGAAACTAGCTCGAGATCAACTCGAGATCGTTACAAGCTGAGCACGAGGCATGTTCTACAGCTCAATCATGAGCTTCACTTAGTTTGAGCTCGCTCGAATTTTCATATGAGTTGAGCTGAGCCAACTCCAACTCGCTCAAGCTCTACTCGTTTCCAGCCCTAGTCCAGAGTGACATGTGGCCAAGCTTTTACGGACAAAAAAAGAAAGAAAAAGAAAACACACACGCAACGGTCATGTTAACTCCATCGAGACAAAATATCGAATAGGTGTTGTGCGTGCCGCTCGCATGGTCCATACTGCTCTCCTGGCCATCACCCATCAAGATCTCCCGGCGATCAACCATCTGCACGCATCGGCGCTGCCTGTATGACCGAGGACGGTTCGGCATGGCGAGCTTGACGAAGGCACGGAGGCGGTGGCGACGGCCAGCAGGGCCAACGATGTCTCTGCACGGCGAGCTTGGCCAACGCACAGATGGTGTGTCGACGAGCAACTTGGTAGGAGCACGGGGCAGACGACGGTGGTGCAGCAGCTCGCAGCGGTGCTGGCAGCCGACGGACGGTGGCCGGCAAAGCCGAGGCGCGACCGTGCACGCATGCATGGCCATCAGGAGCTCGCAGACAACGGCCATGGGAGCGGGCCAGTCGTTGAGGCTGCCTTGTTCGAGGAGCTCGCAGACCAGGACGCAGTTGGGTCCGGCGACGTAGTTGCCGAGCAGGGGCAAGATTCGTCGTAGGCTGGGTTCCCAACGCAGAGACGGTGCGGATCGCCGCCGCGCTATCTGGGCTTTTCGATCCCGACGGCATGTTCCCCAACTGCATGCCCAACCCGGAGGACGCCCTCGAGCTCCGCTGTCGCTGCCACTTTGCTCGCTGCGGCTGCGGCCGCAATCCGCTCGGGCATGGCTGTAGGCTGAAGCGATTGCGAGAGCTGACTCAGCTGAGGGAAGGAGCGCCTGGAGCGGGCAAGTGGTGTTGAGCGCGTCGTCGGCCACCGCCATGAGCTCCCGCGCCAGCGACACGCCGACATTGCGGAGCGGCCTTACGGGTGTCGCCAGGACCAGAGACACCTCGCCGGAGGCTTCCACGCCCACGTCCTTCTCGTGCCGCTGCGACTGCATGCACGCCCACTGTTCTCAAAATGCCCAGCTGAGTTAGAAGAACGAATGAAGGAGATCCACCAGGGATAGCCACGTGGACATAGACCCGGTTAAAACCATGCCACATCATCATGAAACCACTTGCAATCGGGAGAGGGACTTAAATTGTCCGGTTTTGAGAGTTAGGGGTGCAAATTGTCCGGTTTCATAGTTGGAGGACTAAATTTAGACTTTGTCAAGAGTTTAGGGACGAAAAGTATACTTTTCTCTAAATATAATGGGCCTTTTTACATATGAAACTTACTTCGATACAAAAGGTTGTTTACTTTTGTGAATCTCACTATAAGAACTGGAACGAATGAGAACCGTATGCACGACCCAATTTCGGCTGGGACCGTCTCAGGCAGTAGAATCTTGCTCATTCTAGATATAAGGGACAAACTGCTGCTTTGGGTCTGTCTACACCTAAATCAACTGAGGGAACTTCCTTCGTGATTTGCCACACTTTATTAGGGTGTGGATGATTTTTCTGAGCTTATGTCAGTGAAGGGTGGACCCGACCACAGTCACTCTGAAGGGGGCTAATTATCAAATGTGGAAGTAAAGGATAACAACAATCCATTTTTCCCATATAAACCGCCATGATGACATACCCTAATAAAAATCCAATTTCTCGTCGACAATTAGCTGTTCACGTTTCTCATCCAATCAATGATTAGAAAATTGCTGATTGTGTTTCTTTTCTTTCCTTCAAAAAACATACTGAGCTCATTTAAAACGCAACAATGTGTTTTGAATTTCGTCAGTTAAAATAGATATAACACATTTTTCCTGGACTTTACTATGACCACCTATCCTACATGGCACAACATATGTGCGGTCAACACATGTGAAGACCAGTCAACACCAGTCAAGGAGGCCGAAAATAGTCCAAGTAAGCTCCCGTGAGTCCAAGCAAGTTATCACGGTCAACAAAAGTCCAAGTAAACTTCATGGTCAACAAGTAAGAGGGAAAAAATCATATAAGAAAGTAAGAAAAAAAGCCTAATCCAAAGCTAGAAAACCTTCGTTTTTTAGAAATGCTAGAAAACCTTCGTATGGTGGAGGGAATCTTCCCCTTCGTAACATAAGAGTTAAATGACAAATAATCGAAATCATTAATTAAGGAACACTCTATGCAAAGGTCACACCCACCTTTCAAGGTAGTGACAAGTGGCAACCTACGAGTTTTTTCTTTTTTTCATAGATTCGTTTATTTAAAGTGTTTTATCTCTTAAATCGTGTGTCTAAATCTCGAACCGTTTTCACCTTGAATTCCCCGCTCGAGATCTTCAAAACTAGATCCCACTTTGATAGGTTTTGATGAACTTTTTTTTCATAAAAAAACGAAAGAAAACCAAGCCGGGAGCACTTTTTTCCTTTCTAAAAAAAGGCATGACTGTGCCTCTCAGGGAAGCAAATCTGTGCCTCCACGATAAGTAAACCCATGCCTCTTGCGGAAGAAAAAAAAGTAAACATTTTTGTTTTATGTTTCCGAGAGGCACGGCCGTGCCTCCACGAGAAGCAAATATGTGCCTCTCGTGTAAGGAAAAAAAGCAAACACTTTTTTTTTCGATTCCTAGAGGCACGACCGTGCCCCTTGTGAAAGCAAATCCATGCCTCTCGAGGAAGAAAAAAGAAAAACACATTTTTTTTTGTTTTCGAGAGGCACGGTTGTGTCTCTCGCGAAAGCAAATCCGTGCCTCTCACAGACGGAGAAAAGAAAACATGTATTTTTCGTTTCCAAAAGTCATGGCCGTGCCTCTCACGGAAGTAAAAAAACATAGTTTTTTTTCGTTTGCGAGAGACATGGCCGTGCCTCTCACAAAAGAAAAAACGTGGTTTTTAACACAAAATTTTTTGTCCAAAAGCTAAGAAAGGCTGGTGAAAACCCGAAAAGCCAAAACAAACCATCTAAAATGTCAAAAACACGCGTGAAAATTTTTTGAAAGAAGCGCCCAAAACGCGACACTTGCAGCTGCTGAGAGTGTGCCCCCAGGCGACCCTTGTGGGGTTCCCGAGTGAGCACTCGCTCGCTACATAAGAAAACAAGTGGTTGTTGAGCACAACTGCTACTACTAGGCCCAGGCCGAAATGGGACGGTTTTGATGCACCCGTTCTCCATGGGCTTTGCCTTGGTCGCAGGGTATTTCTCAAATAAAAGAGTTATGGCTTTCTAAAACAAAAGTCTTATGTTTTCTTCTAAAAAAAACTCTGACATTCTTCTTGTAGAAAAAGAAAGATCTGACTGAGATTTTCCTTTATTTTGCGGGCAGAATATGACTTGAGATATACTCCCTCCATTCTAAAATAGATCAACTTTGTACTAACTTTAATACAAAGTTGGGTCATCTATTTTGGAACGGAGGGAGTATGAAAGAGCCAAAGCAGTTTGATGCTTTTTTTTTTGTTCTTGTTGTCAAGAAAACGAAGAGGTTCCTCGTAAAAAAAGATAAAAAAGAAAACAAAGAGATGTCGTGTTCATCCGACGAGAGAGCCAATATGAAGCTTTGCGACGAAACCCCAAATTCTGAGGTCATCGCGATGGCTCATTGAGATCTCGGCATCATGTTCAGTTTTTTTAATAATTGGGAAAAAAAGGTACAGAAACAAACAAAGTGTGGATGGATAGCCAAGCTGCCCAAGTAACCCTGGTTTGTCCAACACGATCTCCCTCACGCAGCCATCCCACAGTTGACATGTGATTTTCAAAAGAGAGTATGAACTGGCGCGCTCGTCCACGTGCGCCGTGTAGGATTCTATTCAAGGGGCAGTTGGCGAAAGCAACTGAATAATAGTACTAAATTGCCGCTGGTTCAGTTCCACATGGAGCAACAGTTCCACCGAGTACCGCTGAAGAGCACGGCACATTGGCCATCTCCCCATCGAAACCAACTAGACCATGAAGGTTATGGATTGAGCAGTAGATCCAACGAGTACCCAAGAGCACCGCACATTGGTCATTTCCCTAGATTTCAATACGAACTACGTACGGATGTATATAGACGTATTTTGAAATGCAAATTCACTCATTTTGCTTCGTATGTAGTCCGTATTGAAATCTCTAAACAGAGGGAGTAGATCAATAGAGTTTCTGGATTCTGACGGCATACACACACACACATGGAGCAAGGTTCCTGATCCAGCAGAGCTGAAGAATATAAGCACATTCGCCGTCTCCCTGACAAAGCCAGGAGGGGTCTCTGACTTTCTCACATCACATAACATTGCGCCATCTGTGCATATACCGTGACCATGTAGAAACGGTCTGATTGGGCAACGTCCCGGTTTGAATATGTCAACCTCAACCTCCCATCTAACACCAGATTCAGAGTTAATTAAGCAAGTATAGTAGACACAGCATGAGCTGCTAAGCAGTTTCCCTCCACGCCACTCCCCTTCTCTTCCTCCTCCTGAGTTATTTATTTTCCCTGTCCCTGCCGACGATCAGTTCTCGCGGACGGCACTCCTCTTTTCGTCATCGTCCCGAGTCTTCTCTCTGCTCCTGCCGGCGGTTCTCGTGGAAACAGTGAAACACACATGATGGGGATCCAGCCGAACCTGCTGAACCAGCTGGTGTCGCTCCTCCTCGGGGCGTCCGTCGCCGGGGTGCTCATCTTCTTCATGTCCTCGGACGGGATCGGCGCCGGGCCGTCCACGCCCGGCATATCCAGCTGGGTCAATGAAACCATGGCGGTGCCGGTCGCTCCTGCGCACGAGGCTAACCACACGAGCGCAAGCAAGGTCGACGGCGTTGCCTCCCCGCAGGAGGCCAACCACAACACTAGCCAGGTTTCCAAAGCTTGCGATTCTTGCTAAGTTAGTTATCTCTACTTTTCCTTTAGCGTCTCCGAACTGAATGTTTGGTTTGGTCCGGCAGGCGGCGGGGGACGAGCTGGAGCGGCTGCTGCGGACGGTGGCGGACGAGCACAAGACGGTGATCATGACGTCGGTGAACGAGGCGTGGGCGGCGGAGGGCTCGCTGCTGGACCTCTTGCTCGAGAGCTTCCGCGCCGGGGAGCGGATCGCGCACTTCGAGGACCACCTCCTCGTCGTGGCCCTAGACGCCGGGGCGCTGGAGCGGTGCCGGGCCGTGCACCCGCACTGCTACCTCCTGCCGCCCCTGGCCGGCGGCAAGGACCTCTCGGCGGAGAAGGTGTTCATGAGCAAGGACTACCTCGACCTGGTGTGGAGCAAGGTCCGGCTGCAGCAGAGGATCCTCGAGCTCGGCTACAACTTCCTCTTCACGGTACGTGTTCGTCGTCGGAGCAGGTGGAACAGTTTGCCTAAACAAAGAAGACAAATCAAAAAATGGATGCTAAAAGAACCAGTCCAATGTGACCACATTTTTGCATAAACACCCCTCTCACACTTGCTAACAATAAACTTGAGGCTTATTTTAGCAAAAGGGTCCGTGCGTTGCAACGGGAGATTTTTTCATAATCTTCAATGGCTATGACCATATTTTGTTGCATCATCGAGATACAATATCACTCTCAATTTCGTGAAATTATGAACAATTTTTGACATCATGAACTTTTTTTAAACTCGTGCACACATTTGAAATCATGAACATTTTTCAAATGAACACTTTTACAATTTTTCGAACAATTTCTAAAATAAAGAACATTTTTTGAATTCATAAACGTTTTATACTATTTGCAAAAAATTGTGAACATATTTTATTTTATTTTTCTATTTTATGTGCAAATGGACGAACCAAACGACGGATGAAAATCTGATAATAAGTGACGTGCGAAAAATGGGAGTAAGAAACATCCATGCCTTTAATAAAAAGGAGAAGTACTAATTAATTTTGCACATAAAAATAATTAACATGCAAGATAATATCATATTTAGAATCTACATTTTTTTCTGAGCTATTTTCATAAATAGCGTGCTAAATTTAGAGCTTGGGTTTGAAAGACATGAATATCTTAAAAATACTTGAATCTGCACACAAAAAAATTAAAGAAAATATTTTGGTTGTAACTGTACTGTGTAGACCGTCTGTTAAGTGACACTTGGCAAGCTAGCTCTAAAATTTGATGGACATTTTTGTCAGATTCACGAATTTGTTTTGAATACACGATTATTTTTTCAAAATCATGAACATGGTTTTATTATCGAATATATTTTTCCAAATTGTGATTTTTTTTAAATTTAAGAACAATTTTGTAAAATTACTAATATTTTTAAATTACTAATATTTTTGAAACTGTGTAAATTTTATGATTTCCCAAATATTTTTTTAATTCGAAAATATTTTATAATTTCTTGAACATGTTTTTCAAAATTCGCAACATTTTGAAATTTGGAGAAGGGAAAAACAAAATAAGAAATGAAAAAAACAAACAGACCAAAGATGAAAAAAACAGGGGCGTCGCGCCTGCGGGCTGGCCCATGAACGCGCATTGGTGGAAGGGGGGGTGCGTGACAAAAATTGAGGGGAAATTTGCCAAGCCTGGGGGTCGAACCCCAGTCCCCGAATGGAAAGAGACAAGCTCCAGCCACTGGGCTATCGATGTGTGTGTGAACTTTTTTTGGTATCTTCTCCATAAGAGCCTAATCGCAGCGGAGACTTTGGAAACACCGAATCGTTTTTTGACTTACGGATGGCATTGATGGGTAATTTTTGTCAACTTATAGGGTAAATTACATGATGTATCACCAGAAGCAATAGGTGCTTTATTAGTATATATAGGTATAGGTATAGGTATAGGTATATATATATATATATGTATATATATATATATATATAGAGGTATAGATATAGATATAGAGGTATAGATATAGATTTCGTACCTTTCAAATATGTGGGGTACATATCCTACCAAAATACAACATGTGTGGTGGAATTTCAAAAAAAAAGGCCGTACGTGTAAGTTTTTGAGAAATCTCTAAGATATTTTATTCTCTTTAGATACACAGATCATATATGTCTTTTAAATTTATGTAAGTATTCTCAAACTTTCTATCCTTCATTATCGCACCCCTAAAACTTTTGTTGCATTTTCAACCTGATGATGCAGGATGTGGACATTATGTGGTTCCGCAACCCATTCGAGCGGATGTCGGTGGCGGCGCACATGGTGACCTCATCGGACTTCTACTTCGGTGACCCATACAGCCCCGTGAACGCCCCGAACACGGGGTTCCTGTACGTGAGGTCGAGTGCGCGCATGGTGGGCGTCTTTGAGGCATGGCAAGCTGCGAGGCTGTCCTTCCCGGGGAAGCACGAGCAGCAGGTGTTCAATGAGATCAAGTTCGAGTTGGTCGACAAGCGCGGGCTTCGGGTGCAGTTCCTCGACACGGTGCACAACGCCGGGTTCTGCAACAACACCCGGGACTTCAACACGCTCTACACCATGCACGCCAACTGCTGCGTCGGCCTCGCCGCCAAGCTCCACGACCTCGGGAACCTGATGAAGGAGTGGCGCGCGTACATGGGGATGGACGACGCACAGCGCCAGCGCGGCCCCGTGCGGTGGAAGGTCCCTGGGATATGCATCCACTAATGATTGGTTAATAGCAATGCACATGTAGTCGACCATTTTTGTTTGAGATGTACAAATGTGTCTGCAGTTGTGCGTAAGACAAGATCAAGGTTTATGTCGTCAACTCGTAGTTTGCTCAGAAGGTTTGAGTGTTCATGTCGCGTCAAGAGAATGCAAATCCATGAATAGTGTACGACGCATGATCTTGAAACCCAAGCGAGTGATAGTATGAGATGCCCCCACGGGTATGATGGGAAGCTAGCCTTCCTCGCCGAGCTCCATGACCTTTGTGACATGATGGTTGGACCCTGGCTCCTTTGTGGCGATTTTAACATGATCATAAGAACAACAGTAACCTCAATCACCGCACAATGAGCCGATTTCGTTGCTTCATCACTGACCTGGTGTTGTTGTGACATTTATCTCCATGGGCGGTCGCCACCCTGGTCCAGAACGACCGTGTTCTTTGGACCACCACCTATGAGACGACCCACCCCCAATTCATGCTACGATATCTTGCCTCTGATGTTGGGGAACGTAGTAATTTTAAAAAAATTCCTACGCACACGCAAGATCATGGTGATGCATAACAACGAGAGATGAGAGTGTTGTCTACGTATCCTCGTAGACCGTTCGCGGAAGCGTTATATCAACGCGGTTGATGTAGTCGTACGTCTTCACGTCCGACCGATCCAAGTACCGAAAGCACGGCACCTCCGAGTTTTGCACACGTTCGGCTTGGTGACGTCCTCGCCTTCTCGATCCAACAAGAGGGGCGAAGTAGTAGATGAGTTCCGACAGCACGACGGCGTGGTGACGGTGTTGGTGAAGAACAATCTCCGCAGGGCTTCGCCTAAGCACTACGAAAACTATGACGGAGGATAAACTAGAGGGGACGGGGTTGCCGGCACACGGCTTGGTGTTTCTTGATGTGTCTTGGGTGCTAGCCCTACCCCTCTATTTATATGTTGAGCCTTGGGGTCGAAACTTGGAGTAAATCCTCCACAAAGTCGGTTTCACCCGAAAGGCAAGAGTCCTTCTCGGACTTCCAGGGTCAGACGCCAGGGTTCCCGGCGTCTGGCCCCTGGACTCCGCAAAACTTCCTTTTGCGCTTTCCAAAAACCTTGTGGGCTTTCCCCTTTGGCCCAAATAAAGTGTTCTCGTACCCAAACATTTCGGGAAACATCCGAAACCCCTTCCGGTGATTTCCGGAACCTTTCCGGTGACCAAACACTATTATCCCATATATCAAACTTTATCTCCGGACCATTCCGGAGTTCCTCGTCATGTCCGTGATCTCATCCCGGACTCCGAACAACATTCGGTCATCAACATACATAACTCATATAGTATTATATTGTCAACGAACGTTAAGCGTGCGGACCCTACGGGTTCGAGAACTATGTAGACATGACCGAGACACCCCTTTGGTCAATAATCAATAGCGGGACCTGGATGCCCATATTGGCTCCTACATATTCTACGAAGATCTTTATCGGTCAGACCGCATAACAACATACGTTGTTCCCTTTGTCATCGATATGTTACTTGCCCGAGATTCGATCATCGGTATCTCAATACCTAGTTCAATCTCGTTACCGGCAAGTCTCTTTACTCGTTCCGTAATACATCATCCCGCAACTAAGTCATTAGTTGCAATGCTTGCAAGGCTTATAGTGATGTGCATTACTGAGTGGGCCCAGAGATACCTCTCCGACAATCGGAGTGACAAATCCTAATCTCGAAATACGCCAACCCAACAAGTACCTTTGGAGACACCTGTAGAGCACCTTTATAATCACTCAGTTATGTTGTGTCGTTTAGTGGCACACAAAGTGTTCCTTCGATAAACGGGAGTTGCATAATCTCATAGTCATAGGAACATGTATAAGTCATGAAGAAAGCAATAGCAACAAACTAAACGATCAAGTGCTAAGCTAACGAAATGGGTCAAGTCAATCACATCATTCTCCTAATGACGTGATCTTGTTAATCAAATGACAACTCATATCTATGGTTAGGAAACTTAACCATCTTTGATCAACGAGCTAGTCAAGTAGAGGCATACTAGTGACACTTTGTTTGTCTATGTATTCACACATGTATTATGTTTCCGGTTAATACAATTCTAGCATGAATAATAAACATTTATCATGAAATAAGGAAATAAATAATAACTTTATTATTGCCTCTAGGGCATATTTCCTTCATCTGCCGCATCTGATCACTGTCTGCTAGTTGTATATTGCTCCTCCCAAGCGCACAGTAGACGAAGATTCCACTTCAAGCGTTTTTGGCTTTCAGCAGGTGGTTCAGTCCACCTGGACGTCTATCCCTCCAGATCAAGATTCGTTTGGCGCATCTATTCTCTTCTCAAAGCTACTGCATGGTGACTCTTGAGTTGGAGTGCTCGCACCCTCAGCAACATATTCACACAGATACTTCTAGCACGTTAACTAATTATCTATCGGCTGGACATGGCACAGGATGAGTCCGCTCTCCCCGCCCAAGGCCTGGCTCCGTAGCGAAGTAAAGCGTGCATACCTGGGGTTGGCCTCTCTTGATCACTCGATCGCAAGGCAGTGGGCGCGGTTTGTCCGGCTGCAAGAGGGAGACACGAACACTGTGTTTTCGAAGATTCATACTGCACATCAAAGACAAAAGAACCACATCTTCAACATTCGGGTGGGTAATCAGACTGTCTCCATCGATGAGGACATGGATGCCGCTGCGTTTGAGCATTTCTTCTGTATTCTTGGTACCCTAGGGGCCCGCGAGTTCAACATCAATCTCTAGACCGTTGATGAGAGACAGTTTAGCCTCTCTGACCTCGATCGGCCGTTCATGGAGGATGAGAATTGGGCGGCCATCAAGCAACTACCCACGGGTTGCGCCACTGTCCCCTGGATCCACCTGCATCGAACCTCCCCAATCTGCGCTTGCACCCCCCTGGTTTTTGCCAACACCGTCGGCCAGAGGTATCCCTGCATTGTGCCGATGGTCCAGTTGCGTCGCTCGACTCAACCTACACTAGCCCATGCCCTACCTGCACCGGGATGAGGTAAAAAGGACTCTCCCCAAAAAATCATTCTTTGGATGCTGGTTGACAAGTATGATATCTTCTATTTTCTATCCTTGAATTGTTCATTGGCAAAATATGTGTTGGTTATGTTAGAATGTGGATGGCAGCATACTAAGGCGTAGCCTAGTGGTCAAAAGGGTTGATGCTTTCCCATCCACCCAGGTTCGAGGCATGGTACTTGCAATTTGGGTTTGTTGAACCAATTATACTGCAAGAGTCTCCCTTACAGTCTTCATGTCAAAGAAATGTGGATGGCATCCCTTACAGTCTTTCTGTCAAAAAATGTGGATGGCAGTAGGATGAGAAGAGGCATTATATTTGTTAAGTCGCATGTCAATGGCATATATGTTAGATTTCTTGTTCATTGGCAAAATCAGTAGCATATAATTTCATGTATGATTGTCATATGCATACATGTTGAAAGAAAATAGGAATCCAGAAGTGACCACAAATTTTGTAAACATGCTTCCACTAAGAAGCAAAAGGGGAATATGATTTTTTAATGTTGTTTACAAAAACATAGTCAACAGATAATGGAAAAAGTTGTGTCATGTGGAGTAGATGAAAGAAGTGATGAGTACTTCATACCAACTAAGTTATCTAGAGTTTAGGGTTGAAAATCACTGTTTCCTTAATAATATGAGGACTAGCAAAGGGAAGAAGAATTGTCTTAGGAGGATGTATGATGAGCGAAATAGGCATTAGAATGAAACTTTAGGCGTGCGATCATGGATGTGTTATTTCTCATGTGTTTATGTTATGTCACTTGAGACTTATCGAAAAATATTTTCCTTCCTTTATGTTATTTCACTTGAGACGTGTTTAACAACATTTTCCTTGTAATGATCATGACATCAATATGTTACTTTGTCATCTCTTGTGTTGATCATGACATGAATCTGTTATTTTGTTAACTCTTGTGTCGTGCCATGATTTTCTTCTTATTTTAGAGTTCATCATGTTGCTTGCTTGTTTCCAATATATTTTGTCGTTTGCAGATGAGCACAAGTGGAAACCATAGTGAAGAGTCTGAAACTACTGATTCAGATGTTGTTGCATTTCATGGAGGCAAAGGCAGAAAAGACACATGATGGTTCCTCTTGTTGGTATCATGTACAATGAGAAGTATCTCATAAAAATGGGTTCCTACAATTATTGGACAATAGTGGGTTAAAGATAAGTTGAGTACTCCAAAATATATTTGTAACATGTTCAGGATGTACAAGCCTTGTATTGATAGATTGGATTATGTACTTGTTAACACATATGGCTTGAAAGCAATAGTAAAGAGGAGTTGAGAGGAAGCATTAGGCATGTTTTGGACAGTTAGGGGCCCTTAATCCATAAGCCAACTGGAAAACCGTTTCAAGATATCGACTGAAGTTATATAAAAAATTCAATTTAGTATTAAACTTCTTGAATGTTATGGTTATAGACATCATTCAAGCAAATTATCCAGAGTTCAAAGTTGTTCATTGCTACCTCTTGAGCACTGCGTTGGATTTCCCCGAAGAGGAAAGGATGATGCAACAAAGTAGCGTAAATATTTCCCTCAGTTTTTGAGAACCAAGATATCAATTCAGTAGGAGGTTGCGCGCGCGTCCCTAGTACCTGCACAAAACAAATAACTCCTCGCAACCAACGCGATAAGGGGTTGTCAATCCCTTCACGGTCACTTACGAGAGTGAGATCTGATAGATATGATAAGATGATATTTTTGGTATTTTTGTGATAAAGATGCAAAGTAAAATAAAGGCAAAGTAAAAAAGCAAAGGAAATAACTAAGTATTGTAAGATTAATATGATGAAGATAGACCCGGGGGGCATATGTTTCACTAGTGGCTTCTCTCAAGAGCATAAGTATTTTACGATGGGTGAACGAATTACTGTCGAGCAATTGACAGAATTAAGCATAGTTACGAGAATATCTAGGTATGATCATGTATATAGGCATCACGTCCGAGACAAGTAGACCGACTCCTGCCTGCATCTACTACTATTACTCACTAATCGACCGCTATCCAGCATGCATCTAGAGTATTAAGTTCATGAAAACAAAGTAACGCCTTAAGCAAGATGACATGATGTAGAGGGATAAATTCATGCAATATGATAAAAAAACCATCTTGTTATCCTCGATGGCAACAATACAATACGTGCCTTACTGCCCCTACTGTCACTGGGAAAGGACACCGCAAGATTGAACCCAAAGCTAAGCACTTCTCCCATTGCAAGAAAGATCAATCTAGTAGGCCAAACCAAACTGATAATTCGAAGAGACTTGCAAAGATAACCAATCATACATAAAAGAATTCAGAGAAGATTCAAATATTGCTCATAGATAATCTTGATCATAAACCCACAATTCATCGGTCTCAACAAACACACCGCAAAAAGAAGATTACATCGAATAGATCTCCACAAGAGAGGGGGAGAACATTGTATTGAGATCCAAAAAGAGAGAAGAAGCCATCTAGCTAATAACTATGGACCCGAAGGTCTGCGGGAAACTACTCACACTTCATCGGAGAGGCTATGGTGTTGATGTAGAAGCCCTTCGTGATGGATACCCCCTCCGGCGGAGCTCCGGAACAGGCCCCAAGATGGGATCTCGTGGATACAGGAAGTTACGGTGGTGTAATTAGGGTTTTGGCTCCGTATCTGATCGTTTGGGGGTACGTAGGTATATATAGGAGGAAGGAGTACATCGGTGGAGCAACAGGGGGCCCACGAGGGTGGAGGGCGCGCCCGGGGGGGTGGGGGGTAGGCGCACCCCCCTACCTCGTGGCCTCCTCCTTTGTTTCTTGACGTAGGGTCCAAGTCTCCTGGATCATGTTTGGTGAGAAAATCACGTTCCCGAAGGTTTCATTCCGTTTGGACTCCGTTTGATATTCCTTTTCTTCGAAACCCTAAAATAGGCAAAAAAAAACTGCAATTCTAGGTTGGGCCTCCGGTAAATAGGTTAGTCCCAAAAATAATATAAAAGTGGATAATAAAGCCCAATAATGTCCAAAACAGTAGATAATATAACATGGAGCAATCAAAAATTTATAGACACGTTGGAGACGTATCAAGCATCCCCAAGCTTAATTCCTGCTCGTCCTCGAGTAGGTAAATGATAAAAACAGAATTTTTGATGTGGAATGCTACTTGGCATAATTTTAATGTAATTCTTCTTAATTGTGGTATGAATATTCAGATCCGAAAGCTTCAAGATAAAAGTTCATATTGACATAAAAATTATAATACTTCAAGCATACTAACAAAGCAATCATGTCTTGTCAAAATAACATGGCCAAAGAAAGTTATCCCTACAAAATCATATAGTCTGGCTATGCTCTATCTTCACCACAGAAAGTATTTAAATCATGCACAACCCCGATGACAAGCCAAGCAATTTTTTCATACTTTTAACATTCTCAAACTTTTTCAATCTTCATGCAATACATGAGCGCGAGCCATGGATATAGCACTATAGGTGGAATAGAATGGTGGTTGTGGAGAAGACAAAAAGGGAGAAGATAGTCTCACATCAACTAGGCGTATCAACGGGCTATGGAGATGCCCATCAATAGATATCAATGTGAGTGAGTAGGGATTGCCATGAAACGGATGCACTAGAGCTATAAGTATATGAAAGCTCAAAAAGAAAACTAAGTGGGTGTGCATCCAACTTGCTTGCTCATGAAGACCTAGGGCATTTTGAGGAAGCCCATCATTGGAATATACAAGCCAAGTTCTATAATGAAAAATTCCCACTAGTATATGAAAGTGACGAAATGAGAGACTCTCTACTATGAAGATCATGGTGCTACTTTGAAGCACAAGTGTGGTAAAAGGATAGTCTCTTTTTCTCTCTTTTTCTCTTATTTTTTTTATTTGGGCCTTTTCTCTCTTTTTATGGCCTCTTTTCTTTCTTTCTTTTTATTTTTCGTCCGGAGTCTCATCCCAACTTGTGGGGGAATCATAGTCTCCATCATCCTTTCCTCACTGGGACAATGCTCTAATAATGATGATCATCACACTTTTATTTTCTTACAACTTAACAATTACAACTCGATACTTAGAACAAAATATGACTCTATGTGAATGCCTCCGGCGGTGTACCGGGATATGCAATGACTCATGAGTGACATGTATGAAAGAATTATGAATGGTGGCTTTGCCACAAATACGATGTCAACTACATGATCATGCTAAGCAATATGACAATGATGGAGTGTGTCATAATGAACGGAACGGTGGAAAGTTGCATGGCAATATATCTCGGAATGGCTATGGAAATGCCATAATTGGTAGGTATGGTGGCCGTTTTGAGGAAGGTATATGGTGGGTGTATGATACCGGCAAAAGGTGCGCGGTATTAGAGAGGCTAGCAATGGTGGAAGGAGGAAAATGCGTATAATCCATGGACTCAACATTAGTCATAAAGAACTCATATACTTATTGCAAAAATCTACAAGTTATCAAAGCAAAGTATTACGCGCATGCTCCTAGGGGGATAGATTGGTAGGAAAATACCATCGCTCGTCCCCGACCGCCACTCATAAGGAAGACAGTCAATAAATAAATCATGCTCCGACTTCATCACATAACGGTTCACCATACGTGCATGCTACGGGAATCACAAACTTTAACACAAGTATTTCTCAAATTCACAACTACTACACTAGCACAACTTTAATATCACCATCTTTATATCTCAAAACAATTA